TGGCATCGTATATCTTGTTCAACTTATCATCAAATATGTATGATAAAATTTTTGCATATTTGGAGTAATCTAGAATATAAATTAAACTAGTTTGATATATTAAATTTTCAGGCAACTTAACAGTCGTCCCTTCTATACATATATGATTGGCATCGTATATCTTGTTCAACTTATCATCAAATATGTATGATAAAATTTTTGCATATTTGGAGTAATCTAGAATATAAATTAAACTAGTTTGATATATTAAATTTTCAGGCAACTTAACAGTCGTCCCTTCTATACATAGCTAAAACAATGATTAAAAATTTCAAGATGTTGTACTTTTTTTATATACATATCATGATGAGTACAAATTACGGTAGGCACTACCGGTCATCGTTTCAAGTAGTCTATTAGGCTGGCTCACGATAAGAATCTGAGCTCACTATCTCATTTCATCTCTCATATATATATATATTATTGATTATTTATATGATCAAACAATCAATTAGATCTAGGATAGGATCGGTTTGTTCAGTATTGAAGAGGGGCCGCTTTCTTCCCTGACTTTATGTCTAGTTCTTGAATGGGGTTGCTGAACAATCTGCACATACAGAAATTCGTGAGAGGGCGGAGATTGGTCCCTCGTTGTATCTCCGACGATCAAGTTTGCTGATGACTTGAGTGGGGTAAAGGAAGAACTGTGTGTTCTTATAATTGTGCAGTGTATGCATTAGAGGATCTAGTTTGTGAACCCCCTTAATGTATTTATACATATAATAAAAGTACAAAAGAGGGAAGGTCAAGAGAAAGCTAGAAGTCCGTTCCAGCTCCTGGAGTCAGAAGCGGGGAACTCCTGGGTGCAGCCGGCGGAGAGGTCTAGCGATCTTCTCCTCCTTCGTTCGAATCCTCATCCAGATTAAGTCCTCCCCTAAGTGCTTCCACCTCCTTCAACTCACCCGGCTTTGCAGTCTATCGCCACTTTAGCTTTCCCAGTCAAACTATAGCGATATTCTTCGATGATCTCCTGGCGGTAGGACTCAGACTTGAGATGAGCGACTTCTTCTTGAAGCTTAACGAGCGTTGCATGCTCCTCGTCTAGCCAACGCCTCACATACACCGCCACCTCTTTCTCCGATTTTGCCAACACCTCAGCACAACCCCTCTCTTGAAGAACCTCTTCTATCTTTTTGGCCCTTTTCTTGCTCTCCTCCAGCTGCTGCTTGAGTCTGTCGACCTCAAGAACACTTGGGGCCAGCATGTCCGCAGCCTGCTTCAAGCTGGCCTCTTGATCGGTCCTCAGAGAAACAACTTCCCTAAGGTGCTTCTGCTATAGGATCCACATCCGCTCCATCCGACCATACAACTCTTTCTCCAATAGAGCCCCTCGAATGAAATAGCTACGAAGGGAATGTTGGAGACCAATATCAGGAACCCCCTAAAGATACTTCTCATCCTGAGGGGTGCTAAATTGGTCGATCGCCCTCGATTGGATCCGCCGAGACCCGAGGACGGTCCCCCAGACATCAAGATGACATTCAGCCTCAAAACAACACTATGGTTCCGGATCCTCTCCATGTCGAGCACTGATCGAAGTGAGCCCAATAA